ATTTCAAAGTTTAGAGGATCAGCACTACACCTTACAACTAAAACCACAAAATATAACGAAACAATTACTATTATAAATGTATCTTGGCGTCAAAGGGTTAAAAATTACATATATATATACCAATAAATTAAATATATTTCCTCTACAATCTAACCGTCATAAAATTATTGGAATCCTGTATAATCCGTGGATTCCGCGTAGCGGTGCCGAATTTGATATTCAAACTCAGCTTGTCTATGCTAACATGAATCTAATGCGTGAAATTCTGTAAAACTAGACACTGAAGCAATGAATTTTACCATTTTTGTGTGCCTTCCATACGCCACTGAAGAAATTTAATTACTGGTGACATTCTGCTTAAGTTGGCCATACAAATTTTCTTCCGAGTTTGAATGAAGAAAACGAATTTCTTTCGGTGACCCTAAGCAATATTTCTCCAGATATTTTATCTCCCTCGCAGGCTCGCCACGATAAGCCAGCCCACCAATATAAATAGGTGGGAGCGGTACCAAGTGACACTGTCAACCCGATAGAAATATTATACGCACCTGGCACCTAATGGGTAACCCGGGCCATTAATGACATGTTTGAACTCTGAAATATGCCCTGGAGCCAACACCGGGCCTCAGCATGCAATTTAATAATATTAATGATCACAATAATAATAATAATAATAATAATAATAATAATAATAATAAAAGATGTTTCGGCGTTTATTGGGCAGTATGCCAGTCGCCGATTCTTAAAATCTCAGAACATTGACAGTTTGTTGAGGTCACGAACTCGCAACTCGCTGCTTCAATTTTGCATTGCTTAATTAAACGCCCGGCCTCCTCGCTGATTCTGACCAGAAACTGGCGCACGTACTGAACTGGGATCGCACCCGCGCGCCTCTCTGCGCCAATCATGGTACTCTGAACTGTAAACCCTAGGCCACCCTGACAAGTAGCCTCAAAAAACTCGGCCTCATAGCTAGAAGCCACAGACTGCGCTGAAACACCGTAGGTAGACCCGCGACACACTGCATGAAGCATAATGGCGCCGTTAAAGAAGCTTTAGACGCTCAATATTTTTCAATAAATTTTGGTTTGCGCAATAATATACAATGCTCAAGAGTCATATTGGAATATATAATAAATCATATTGAAAAATACAATAAATTGTGCAATCACATCCACAGGCGTGCCAACATTTCGTGCTTATTAGGCATGCATGCTCAACTGCTAATAAGCAGGCAGTTCTGCATGAACTGCCTGCTAAGAAAAAGATTCGATCATGTAAAGTGCATGAGCGAAATTTTGAATGATTTAACCTGACAGTTGTTGGTACTTCAATAGACGAAGATGACCTGCTACAAGTACTTGCACTTAGAAATGCAATTACATTTTATCGACACTCGTGCATTTTATAAAAAACCATGTCTTGTCTTATATTTAATTTCTTTATTTCATAACATTTTTTTCCACTATAATATTTATAGCGGAAAGTGATATATAGCAGTGAGCTCTAAATAACAGTGAGCTCTATATGACAGTGAGCTCTATATAACAGTGAGCTCTATATAACAGTGAGCTCTATATAACAGTGAGCTCTATATAACAGTGAACTCTATATAACAGTGAGCTCATAATCCGAACTGTGACAGTGAGATCTGTTACTGAGCTGTGGTAGTGCGCTCTGATATTGGTTGAAATTTTTTGAATCTGCAAAAGACAAAAATGCGAAGAAAGACAAAAAACAAAAAAACGAAAGAGATGGCCTGCGAAACTAAAAAAAACCGATGGGCCATTGAATGGCCATATCAGTAAAATTTTTATCAGGTCAAAATAAGTGAGATCGTAGAGGTAAAAAGTTGAAATTTTGACACAAACAAAAAAAGATAATTTATTACGAGATAATTTCTCGTAATTTTTACAGCAATTCTCTTTAACTTCACTTCTTGTTGTCTGCTACAAATCTTATAATCGATATTTAACACACTTCTAATTGTCCAATCGATCTAAAATTTTACACGCTTGCGTAAAGTCGGAGGCAATGCATGAATCAATTGACAGAATAGATAAATTTGGAAATTTAAAAATTTTTATGTGTAAAAAATTGTTAAATTAATTTTTTAAGCAAATAAGTGACATTAATTTTTTTAATAAAATTAAAATTTTTTATACATGAGTTACATCTGAAACACTGGATTCTTCAAAGTGTTGTCTTTAAAAAATTATTTGTAAACGCAAATCATTTAATTATTAAGAAATTAAAAGATTTTATCATGTTAACTGAAATTTTCAATAATTTAACATGGCAGTTGTTGGTATTTCAATAGGCGAAGATGACCTGCTATAGTTACTGGCACCTAGAAATGCAATTACATTTTATCGACAGGCGTGCATGCTATAGAGAAACACATCTTGTTTCATTTTTCATTTGTTTATTGAAAACATGTCTTTTCACTATAATATTTTTAGATATGTGAGCAGTGAGACATTGTTGGTTAAAATGGGTGCCATAAAATGTTCAAGGTTACGTAAAACATAATTTGAATGAGAAGTAGAAAATATAACATTATATTCTTATTCATTCGAACTGCAGCTCCTCTTTTCCAACGTAAAGCGGTTGTCTTGGCTACGATATAAACAAAATTCTTGTGACACTATACCGTGCAGCATCAATGAAGCATTATTGATTTAAACTTGGTTCTGTGTCCACTCCAACTAATCGGCAATGCTGCCAGTGCTACACTGTTAGAAAAAACGGTGAAAAAACGGTCCCACTTGCGTTCTAGTGGCCGGTCGCCCGTGAAAATAAATTAAAATAAACTTTTTCGCTGTTTTTATCAGATGTTTTACGGATTTCTAGTGTAAAATTAGAATAAAAACGGTGACACGGTGTTTCTTTTCACGTGCCGACCGGCCGCTGAAACGCCGGTAATACCGTTAACGGTAATTTTTTCTAACAGTGTATCTACTGTTGGTAGTCAAGCGATGCCATGTGAAGCATGTATGATGGCATCACAGGTGGGGGCCTATATATTCGTATATACTGTTTTGTATGAGTTCAGGGGTGCTGTGTGTGAGGGAGAAATACAGTGAGAAGAAGAGAATAAAAGATGAAAGTTTCACATATGATGTGGAGTTTGATGAAAGTTTCATGCATGTGGGGTTTGCAGGAAACTGCAAAGAACCTAATGAGGGAGAAGAGGCGCATGGGAGAGAAAGACGGGCAATGATGGAGATGATTCTGAATGAGGGAGGTGAAGGTAATGATGTGGAGCTTTGCTGTAATGATGAGCCGCTGTATCTCAGTGGCTCCTCGAGATGAGAGGAGCTAGCCGTGAGTTTGAATCTAGGGAAGTTCATTTCATTTAACCACAATAAAGATCTATACTTTATTTACTATTTCAGTAGGTTTGTTTATTTACTATTACTACGTTTTTCTTAGCTTTGTTTCGTGTCTGTCTGTCTGTCATCAAAAATTCAAACCTTAATTTAGAGCACTTCTGAAGATCCTAGACACTTGAAATTTGGCATGCATACTTGTGCTGCCTAACAATTCGAGATTTGATCATCAGAAATAATGGTATAAAAAAATAAAAATAAAATAAAAATTCACGGTTCGGAATCGAGTTTTTTCTCGAACATTCAGACTTGCCAACCCTGGAAATTGATTTGAATTGCTAAAATTGCTAAACTAAAAAGTAGAAAATAAATATATATAAAAAATAATTTTTAAAAACCACGTTTTTCTGGTTTTTACAAAACTAAAAATAATTAAATAAAACAAATAAAAAAACTTAAAAAAACACGTTTTCTTAACGAACAAAAAAGAAAAACATTTACCCTTACATAACATTACATAACATTTTACATAACTTAAATGTTATGTAAAAGTAAATATTTGTCTTTTTTGTCCGTTAAAATAAAACGTGGTTTTTAAAAGATTTTTTATTTGTTTTATTTCATTATTTTTAGTTTTGAAAGAACCAGAAAAACGTGGTTTTTAAAATGATTTTTCATATATATTTATTTAAGCATGAACATATCCTAGTCATTACATTTTTTAATGCAACATAGTGTTGCCGCTATTTAAAGCGGTAGGAAAGGGGTCGATTAATTAGCACATTGGTTTCTCATAATTAAAGTTCAAAGAAGTTTTTGAGTGAGATATTAAATGAGCAGGTACGCACATCATATTGTATTGGAATTTTAGTAAAGGAAGCTTCTCTTGAGAACCTTGCTGACATTTTTAGCGCAACAAGTGAGCCAGTTTTTTGAAATATCATAGATGGCCAATCAACCCTAGAATTCCACTCTGACACTGTAGTATTTCTCGTACACTGCCGTTTTTCTCGTGCACTGCAGTATTTCTCGTGTACTGCAGTATTTCTCGTGCACTGCAGTATTTCTCGTGCACTGCAGTATTTCTCGTGCACTGCAGTATTTCTCGTGCACTGCAATATTTCTCGCGCACTGCAGTATTTCTCCTGCACTGCAGTATTTCTCCTGCACTGCAGTATTTCTCGCGTGTACTACAGTATCATTCGTGCAAGAGTTGATCATCTTATGCATAGATAAGCATACAGTGGATGTCAATTTAGATTGGTTGTTGAAGACTTTGACCGAATTATCGGTGGCTCACTACAGGCCAATGTTAAACCTTCTCTAATCCGCCTCAACATTCGTCCCCGGAAGCTCATTCACTGCGCCCAACTTCTGTGATATCTGATAATTAAAAAGCTTAAACCATGAAGTTAAACTGTTCTCATCAGAATTAGTTGGCTGAGTTTTGGCACCGCGACAATCAAGCCCCGATAGCGAAGCATAAAGAGGTTTAGAAGATTACCTTCACTAGATTTCGCTGGACGAGTCCACAGGCGTGGCCGTCGTCAATGGCAACTTAAGAGGTCGACTTCACGGGATTGGTCATCGTCAATGCATGCTACTTGACTGTAGCTGGATGGTTACTTAACAACCAATTTAAACTTACCGTGGCTTCAGAGCCTTACCAGACGCCGCTCAGATCTAACGTGTCATCTACAGCGTCACAACCTTGATGTTGGGCGAGTTGATTTTCTTAGATAATTTTTTTCTAATGAATTTATATTAAATATAAATTTTAAATATAAATATGATATGATATAAATATTTATAATAAGTATTCGTACGAACGAGTTGGCTTGTCAGAAAATTTTTTATCGTCGTTAGCATTATTTTTGATAGTCAGTTTTTGTGTCAAGGTCAATTAAGGTAAGATAGTTGTGGATTCAAGTTGTCGTGCAGGCAGGTCAGTTGTAAAGTCAAGTTGTTGCTTTTACGCTTACATAGCTGTTACTGGTCTGCATTTTCTCGTTTCTGGACTGTACATGTAAATGGCACATGTATTCATGTTAACCGTCTTCCTCCGTATGTCACTCTCCGGGAACTTAACTTTCAACTTTAATTATACGTAAACTATTGAGTGTAGCAACCTGAGGACGTTTGTACGCAACAGAGAACATTTTAAAGTTGTCGTACGTGGCGGCAACCATCAGTGCAAGTCATTTTGCGCTCACTAGAACGTATCCTTTTTGGGAAGTAGGCGCGTGACAATATTGCTCCGGGTTAAGGTAATATCATTTGATTTTATATTTCATCACAGACATTTTCTCCTACTGTTCTTAAGTTGGTCTGAGAAGCTAACTGCGTTGCATAAATTCTTAAAGGTTCTTGTAGAAGTTCTTGAAAGAACAATCCCGCATTAGATATGACCCTGTTTTGAAAAAAAGGCTACCAGTTTGTTCTACAATGGTTCTACCAAAATCTGTTTGGTAGTGTGATGGCCTAACGAAATTTGGATGATTGCCCGAAGGTAGCGACTCCTGGTCAAAAGGATGAGCATTACTCGATATTTTAAGGGAGGGAGTAGGTGATTGTTCAAGTAAACACCCCTAAGAACAAAGGTGCCTCTAAGGCGGCTCGGCTCTGCATTTCCAACTTGTCGGAAACATGAACAGGATTTTGGAATTAGAAAATTATTCGCAGACATCCCTATAGCTTACCTCGGAATTCAGTTTCATGAATAAAAATATAAGATATGAGAGGAGGTCATAACTGAATTGTCACCGGATAATGAAATAACGACCGTGAAATAGTAATTCAACCTAAATATTTAATTATAAGAAGTATCTTCAGTAAAAAATCGAAACAATTATTTTCATCATGGATTTATGCTTGGACTATAATTTTTATAATTTTTGCCCTGACCCGGAAGCAAAAAATTTTGTCCATCCAATCTATTTGTTTACAGAAACATTGCATGCATTTATCATCCATCATCTCTGAAATGCTGAGGGGACCGAGGGTGCTGATGATGCTGCTGTCCGTGCTGCACGGAACCGGCGTAGCATCAACGGGCTCATCCCGGTACCGCGTGCACCCCCAGGCAGGGTTCGGTATCGCTGATCCTGCGGCAGTGGTGCACTATACATCGTCTGCCATACAGGTAAGGTTATTAAGTTTAATTTAATTGCGCAGAGTTATATGAAACTATTTTTAAAAGGATAATTTAGCCACTGAAAGCGTTTCAATTAGGTTTTAATAATAGATGTGTTCTCACATGCTATGCTCCGGGTCGTATTAGTCACTGTTAGTGCATTGAAATCCTTAGTTTTTTTTTCACTTTAATATATCTTAACACAAACACAAATATATCGATTCCAATGTTGAACAAGTCGCTTGATTTCACAGTAAAATTAATAGCTCTAGTGCAAATAGTAATTGTTTCTCCGATTCGAGAAAGAAACGCGGGTTTGTTGCTGCACCTTAAATGGGAACGTATGGGTCAAAAAATCTATAAATTTGGCTTTTCCGTTTTCTTGGCTCATTTTATAGCTGCTGAAAAAGCGCGTCTAACCCAGCAAACCGCATGCATGTGCGTACTCTAATTTGTGGGTAAAGCAATTTTAAAAATATATAATATGAACATTTTTTAACAATTAATATGTACAAAGATTTCTCTAAATTAAATCTGTAGTTATAAATTATTATTCTCGTTAATTGTAAAGTGTTTGCACTCGTTTGAAAGCCATAAACAAGACGCGTTTAAGAAAGCTAAATTCATAGATGGAGTGAATTAGTTTTGCGTTTAGCAGTTCTTAATTTTTATTAAATGACCATTTTATAAAAATTATTACAAATTTTAATTTGAAAAGGTATTTAAAGATTCCTGTTAATTGCAAAGGGTTTGCACTCGCTTGAAAGCAACAAACGATGTGCGTTCAAAAAAGAAAAAGCACGGATGTACATGCAATGTTTTTTTGCGTTAGGCCATTTTGAACCTAAATAAAATAAACATTTTTAATATGTATAAAGATCGAAAAAGTCTCATTTATATCTTATTATTCCCGCTAAAATGGACAAGAATAAGTCTAAAGATCGACGCGTGCTGGTACCGTAAATGCAACTAAATGGCAATGGGAAAGCTTGAGCTACAATATCAAGCAACTTATTGGCATATTATTCTTTTTATAATAAATTTTTACTTTTTTTCTTCTTTTAAAAATTAAAATTTACAAAATACATCACTTTAAAAATTTATCTCCTCGTATGATTTTCAAGCCACATAATTAAGAGATATGTCATTCGACTCGTAAAGACCATACCTAGCGACTCTAAAAGCCCTTTTTAGCGCATTTTCTCATTTCTGGAAAAAATGCACTATTGTGCTCGGCATGTCCATCCGTCTGTTTGTCCTTCCATGACTTCACGTTTTCGTCGACGAGAAAATGCGCTCTCTGTCACGCACTGCAGTGAGTACTGAGTTATTTTTTTGAGGGGGGGGAGGGCCGGGGAAGGGATTGGGGTGGGAAATAAAAAATGGAAAAACGCACATAAAAAACATTAGGAAAAATCGAGAATCTAAGTTCCAGATCCGCTAGATAATTATGTTGCAAATCGAAGGAAATGTGTCTCGATATTGTAACACGTTAATGCAAAAGTTAAAGAAAAATTTAGAGTACCCCCTTCTTTGCCGTTTTTTATTAATTTCACGTTTCTCTATTTTTTACGCAAAAATCACACAAGAAAAATGTTTTTATTTCTATGTTTCACGTATGTGTGTGAAATTTCAGGAAGATCGGTAGATAAATGTAGAAGTTTTTCTAGTACCCAGACGGTCCCCTTAATGACCATTATAGTAATGATTTTCACCTAATTTTTAGGAAACCTAACAATTTTTCTAACAATTTTTGAATTTTGAATTTTTAAGAACTCTAAACAATTTTTCCTAATTTTTAGGAAAAATAGTTTTCATAATTTTGATTTGTTTCGTTGCCATCCTTTTCATGACCCAACCTCGAGAAAACTAGGATACGTCATATATCAGTACTTATATTATCAGTCTGCTTATATCACAAGTTCACAAGGAATTTAAAACCAAAGAAAACACCAAGCAAATTTACCATATCGATATTGAAAATGTTTCGGAGTCCAGCTCCACCATCAGTTCGAAAAGCAAAAAATTAATAAAATCATATTATAAGTCAAAATTCTAGGACAGACATAAAACCTAAACAAGGCCTAACATTATATCGAAAAACAGGACTCGATTGGAACCACTTAGTCCTAGCGGTCACGAAAAGAATATAAAAGCCTAGCGATTCACTATTTCCAGATTATATGAACTATGAGACACGGTTTTAGTTTGAAGAAATGTAGAGACTCCAAAACTCTCAAATCCGAGCAGCCAGAAGTGGAACCGAGTATCCTGAAATCACTCTCAGTTACAGCCACATCGCACTGTTCAGCATGGAAGCGCACGAAAGAATGAGGAGGCTTGGAGAGAGGCAAGGTAGAACGATAGCTCCTGCCACGGTGTTCAGAAACCCGGATGTAGAAGTTCCGCTACGTCATTCCAACGTACGCAGATGCGCAGCGCGCACAACTGAGCTCATAGACCAGGTTTGATAGCATCCGGGCAGGAATAGCGTCCTTATACCTGAAGAAAGAACCAATTTTGAAATTATTTAACAGCAAAACATGCAAATTTATATTCGGGAAATATTTCATAAACAAAATCTTCCGTTCTCAGGATATAGTTTCAGACGCACTACCAAAATAGGGCAATGTGCAATAAATAGTTTTCTTACTATCACATTCAGTCACAGTTTCAGAAAATTTGTTAGATAAGAAGCGTTTGATTTTACTAAACGCAAGGCATGATGGAAAACCATTAAGCTGAAATATATTACGAATGAATTCGGATTCCCAATGCATATCATGGAAGGTAGAATAAACCCTATAGCCGCGGTATATCGAAGTTTGAAGACTATTCAATTTGAAACGAAACGAGCAGAAGCTAAAGCTCATACCCAAGCCGGTAAATGTCGGTTTTCAATAAACGGAAGTCTGAAACTGATTTTCGATAAACGGAAGACTTTTTCGAAACTTCACTTTTCCACTTTTCTGGTTCGTTGCCTGGCATATTGTACGGTCTTCCAAAAATTCATAAGCCTGATTTCTCTTCGAAATTTCAATTCCGACCTATTTTTGCAGCGGATAATACCCCGAGCTTTAACGTAGCTAAATATTTAGTTCCCATTTTGAATTGTCTAACTACTAAATAATTTACTGTTGATAATACCTACTCATTTGTCGGCCGTTTGAAAGATTTAACCGATGTTCAGCACCTGACTATGGCTTCGATCGATGTGGAAAATTTGTTCACTAATATTCCTCTTACAGACACTTGAAATCTGCCTCAACTCTTTGTTTAAGGATGCGAATGATCTGGTGATCGGTCTTAACCTCAGTCTTTTCAAAAAGTTTTTTTTTGAATTATCAGTCATGAACTCTTTTTTCATTTCGCTGGTAAACTTTATAAGCAAGTTGTTGGTTTAGGAATGGGCCCTCCCCTTGGTCCCACACTCGCTAACATTTTCATGTGCTTTCCTGAGGTTTCTTGTTTGAATGATTGTCCCATTGATTTTAAACCAATTCTTTATAATAGGTATATTGATGATACCTTTCTGATCTTCCAGCATCCCTCTCAAGCTGGCCTTTTCTTTGATTATCTAAACCTCAAACATCCTTCACTAAAATTCACTATGAAATTAGAATCCAACAATTGCTTGTCGTTTCTCCATTGCAAAATTACTAAGTCTGGTGGTCGTTTTCAGACTTCCGTTTATCGAAAACCGACATTTGCCGGCTTGGGTATGAGCTTCTTAATTTAGCATCTGCTCGTTTCGTTTCGAATTGAAACGTTTGAATTTCTTCAAACTTTGGTATACCGTGGCTCTATGGTTTGTTCTACCTTACATGATATGCATTTGGAATTCGAACTCATTCGTAATATATTTCAGCTTAATGGTTTTCCATCATGCCTTGTGTTTAGTAAAATCAAACGCTTCATATCTAACAAATTTTCTGAAACTGTGCCTGAATGTGATAGTAAGAAAACTATTTATAGCACATTGCCATATTTTGGTAGTGCGTCTGAAACTATGTCCAGAGAACTAAAGATTTTGTTTACGAAATATTTACCGAACATAAATTTGTAGGTTTTGCTGGTAAATAATTTCAAAATTGGTTCTTTCTTCAGGTATAAAGACGTTATTCCAGCTCGGATGCGATCAAACCTGGTCTATGAGTTCAGTTGTGCGCGCTGCGCATCTGCGTACATTGAAATGACGTCGCGTAACTTCTACATCCGGGTTTCTGAACACCGCGGTAGGAGCTATCGTTCTAACTTGCCTCTCTCCAAACCTCCTCATTCTTCCGTGCGCCTCCATGCTGAAGAGTGCGAAGTGGCTGCAACTGAGAGCGATTTCAGGATAATCGGTTCCACTTCTGGATGCTCGAATTTGAGAATTTTGGAGTCCCTACATATCTTCAAACGAAAACCGTGTCTCAATAATGCGTTTACTTCGTATAATCTTTAAATAGTGAATTGCTAGGCTTTTACAGTATATTCTTTTCGTGACCCCTAGGACTAATTAAGTTATTCCAATCGAGTCCTTTTTTCGATATAATGTTAGGTCTTGTTTAGGTTTCATGTCTGTCTTAGAATTTTGACTTATAATATGATTTTATTCATTTTTAGTTTTTCGAACTGATGATGGAGCAGGATTCCGAAACGTTTTCAATATCGATGTGGTGATTTTGATTGGTGTTTTCTTTGCTTTTAAATTCACGTCAAATATCAATACATCAATTTACGCGCTGTTAAATTATCCTATATGTAGCACATTATAGATTAATTCGAAATATTCCAAATAGTACAGAGAATCTTGTACTGATTACAACAGAGTATCTCATTATTAATTGAAACTTAGTAATCAATTATTACGTCATTAATCCATACAGAACCGTACATTATAATAATTACGTAGTAACTCGTTATTAATTAATATGGCGTAGCCAACTATAAACTAATACACATAATGATTAGTTATTTCTCACTTTCAGGAATTTCTGATTGCACTAAAATTAGTTAACTTCTTGCAGTGTGCTCAACGGTGCTCGATTTCTGGCTCATCTGTCTTCTCCGTCACTGAAGAAAACACAGGAAAAGTGAGATGCAGAATTGCATCGTCTGGCTTCCGAGCTGAGAACCTCACCGCCGGCGCCGCTGCTGCAGGAGAAACAACCTACGTCGACGTGAGTCATAAACAGCATACAGAAGCCGGGCAATAACATCATTTGCGGTCTTGTTTGTGAATGAGTTCTTAATGGCAGAATAACATTAAAGTGGCTCGGAAAAGTCCTGAAACTTTCACAGTATCAACCCTTATATAGCAGGGGCAGGATGGCCCAGTGGTTAAAGTTCAGAATACCAGGGATTGGAGTAGAGGCGCGGGTTCGATCCCAGCTCTGTGCGCCAGTTTCTGGTTAGAATCATAAAGGAGGCCGGGCGGTTAAGCACAGCAGAATTGTAGCAGTGAGTTGCGAGTTCGAGACCGCAACAAGCTGTGAATATTCTGCGATGTTAAGAATCGGCGACAGGCCTACGGCCTACTAAACGCTGTAACCGCTATTATATATATATTTTGAAAAATATGTCTGTGTGCAGGGATAAAGGAAATTGTTGGAAGTTTACTGGAGCATAGAAAAGATTTGCTTCGCAAACGAATGGCTTCTAAATGTGATATAAGGTTTGAGATCTTATGTATTACAAAGGCATTTTTTATTTCATTTGCAAAATTAATTCATTGTTTATTTTAGCTATATTTACTTATTATTACCTTGACTATCATCAAAAACTTTAAACTTCGGAAACTTCCGCGAAATTTCTGCTTGAATTTCTCAACAAAGACCATGGATAACTCCATTAGAAATATTGTCAACTCGCATGTACATCGATGGTTTTTAATCTAGACGAAACGTCTGATTTTTTGCGGTGACTTCAATCAACAACTTTGAGCAATACCTTAAAGTTCTTTTCATTTTTCACTGATGAGAACTTGCAGTGTATCGGAAATAACGAGTTTAATTTTATTCATATTTTTTATTATATTACAGCTTTTTCTATAACTTGTTCACACCGCTAGGGAGTTTACGTCACGTTCACATCAAATTCTTTAGTCATCACCATCCGACCGATCCTCACACCAGCAAGTACTTACGTTGCCATAGGTATAATTATTTTTTCTTCATTCATAACTTGTGATGTGTAACTTAACTGTCATTGCCATTAGCTAGTCAATAAAACACCTTATATCCAATTTCTATCATAAGTTAATTCAAAGAAACCGCACATTCGCCCCATTCCTCGCAATGTGTGGGCCATGACTGACACGTATCCAACAAACTATTCAACAACGACACTTCGTAAAGATTCAATACCCAGTCGAGCCTCGCATGCGCAGCCACTAACGGCCGCTGCGTTGACTCTGTTTAGCGACCAACGCTATCTACACTGTTAAAAAAATTATCGTTAACGGTATTACCGGCGTTTCAGTGACCGGTCGGCACGTGAAAAGAAACACCGTATCACTGTTTTTATTCTAATTTAACACTAGAAATCCGTAAAACATCTAATAAAAACGGCGAAATAGTTTATTTTCACGGAGCGACCGGCAACTTGAACGCCCGTGGGACCGTTTTTTCTAACAGTGTATAGTTGTCTGTGAATAATCAATATTAATCACAAATCTATTACTTTGAATCAGTAATGTTACACCTCTTTACCACTGTGCGACTTTGAATCAAGTTTCAATGTCTAAACCAAAATAAAATAATCGAAATGAGGTATCCAAAGCAGAGTTGGGTGAATATCAAATTATTGTTTAAATTGCGAGACGGAATGGAGTGCTAAAATAAGTACAATTCGTAGCAATTAATTCAGCTCTCAGCAGAGCCATAAATCGTGCTACGTCTAATTCATTTAATTTTTACCTGAACTGGAACTAAACCTTGCTCATGTACAGGAACTTACCACTGCTACTGAACAGGCACTTACCACTGCCGCAACAACTCAAGGTGAGCAATATTTACCAGAAAAATGAAATCCTAATAGCATTTATTCATTTTAAAAATTAATTTCGGACGGGTTTTGGTGCTTTACAACGCTCAAGCGCGCAATAATTTGTTCAATAATGTATATTTTTGCGAAATCTTTGTTTAGTGAGAACTTTGATATTAATTCGATGGCTACATTACCCATAGAATGAGTGTGCATAATCTAATCGCTTTAGATTCTTATCCATTACACATGCACAATTAAGTTCCACTTGTCGAATATTTCTCATTATGTGTCAGAAGCAAGGCTCGTTTTTCCCTAATTGAAGTCGGCTTAATTGTCCTGACATATTTATTATTGATGAAAGACAAATATATTGCTCATATAGTATTGAGAAAGTATTTCACAAATACCTTCACAACACTTTCACGGAGAACTATCAAATTGAAAGAAAGACAAATACTTTCAACAAGTCGGTCACTCCTGAGTACATCAGCTTCTCCTAAGTGTTAATTGTTCACGAAGTCTCCGTGCATTTTCATTGAGTCTTCGTGAATCGTATTTTGCAGCCTCCTGCTACTATCTTGACGAATTTTCTAGCGCATAGTTTGTTCGTGGGCTGATGATGGCACCTTTGATTATTCTCTTAATGTCATGCACGATAGAATATAACATTTATAACGATTGTATATTGTCTCTTTTTCATCGCCGCCGTGGCATCCGCATTATCCTAAAGCAGCATTATCCTAAAATAATTCTTGATGAACAATTTTGGTCTCATCGTGTCTTTTGCACCTTGGCTTGAAACGTATAATTTATATGCCTAAGTGATGTGTATTTAACTAAACTGAACCCAATCGAGTTTATCATTTTACTCTATGGTTCACTTATTGCATTTGGAGAAATTCTGTGCGTTGGACAAGCACGCAGCACAACATAACTTTTATAGCAATCGCAATAATATCGTCCGTCTGTTGACTAGAAAAGATCTGAAATTTGTACTAGACAACAGCTAGGAAGTTTAATGAATATGAGTTATTTTAATATTTTTCTCTACTTATTTTCCTTTCTATTCGAGCCATTTCTTTGTACATTATTAAATTCGTCTGTTTTAATGCACCGATTTTTCACATTAGACATCAGAATAAGTCTAGAATAAATTATCATTTAAAAAGTCTTGAGTAATTTCCTCACAAATTATAAGGAAAAAATCTTATCCCACTATAACCTCTCACTTTATCTATTTTTACCTTAACTTAACATAACTTTAACTTTTTGGTGTTTCTAAGTAGAACATCCTTGAATTATCACAATATATTTATGTCATAACTATATATGATCACAATATTATAGCCATAATTAAATATTATCACGATATATTATAGCCATAATTATATATCATCGCAATATATTATAGCCATAATTATATATTATAGCAATAAATAATAATCATAAATATATATTAACACACTATATTATAACCATAACTATGCATTATCACAATATATTATAGCCATAATTATATATTATCACAATATATTATAACCATAACTATACATTATCACAATAGATTATAGCCATAACTATATATTATCACAATATATTATAGTCATAATTACACTAGTAATGACATCATAAATTTGCTTAAAGATATAATTAAACAAGAATATAGAAGTAAAGAAAATGCCAGGTAAATCAATCAAATCTTCATTGAAAGATGACCGGAGACCAGCATCATCAAGATGATGAATATGATTGAATAGCAATTTTTACTTTTAAATCATTGGTACAATTGCACTAGTAACCTAATGGTGATCTCTTAGTAACCGTAATGGTAATCTTAAGTGTGATTCACAAGTCCAAGCAACATGTTTGAAAAAAAATCTTGCTACGGTAACGAATTGCACTAAATACAAAGGTTTCGAGCTTTTCTTCTCAGACATTATTCTAGGCCTGGATTACAGACTATTCATGATTCCGATCTCTGAAATTTTATCTGTTTAGTTTAAAGTTTTTATCCATTTTTTTTTGTTTATTTTTATACAGTTTTCCGTGACAAGGTTGATTTTGTCTCCTGTACATCTTCGATTGTGTTAAAATTTTAAAGTGTGACTCGTCATTGCAGACTAAATTATTCACTTTAATTGCAGTTATTGGAATGCCTTAAAAACAGAACTAATAGTAACATGGTGAATGTGAGAGAAGAAAAAGATGAGCTTCTTTTCATCAAAAATGAAGCAAAAAAGTAAGTTATTAATTCCAATTAAGGAGCATTGCTCCTAGAATCCTATAATGTTGTTCTAAAGAATCCCACATCCAGCACGCCTCCTATTGTAATAGTTAATATTTGCATATGTGTGTAGTTGTATCTATGTCACGTAATTTTATCCTTCATGCGTTTTCAAATTTATGTATTTCATGTATCCTCAATCATGCATCACTGGTTTTAAATATTTAATATATATTTAGTATTTGTATTGAATATTTAGTATTTAATAATGACGGTGGTCTCGCAACTGATTTTGTTTAAAACAAGTTGAGATCTAGTGAGATGTTTTAATGTTATCACAAATATTAGCGTTAGATTTGATTCTTCAATAGCAACGACGTTACTGACATTAACAGCCTCGAATCCGATAAATTCCAATGCTGTTGCACCGGAAGAAGCAAAATAGTCAACCTCCAGCTTCTGCAACTCGAACGACTGCACGAAATGTCTGCGGTTTTTATTCATTTCAATATCTTGATCCTATAAATTTAATTGTATTAGTTAGTTAATAATTATATTTAGTACGCTGAACTAGGCGGTCATAACATTAATGAAACCCAGTTTTTCGGTAAGTAACGCCACACATTCATTTATTAATCGCTAATACCCTGCAGGTAACAATTACTAATGTTACACCGTTGTTTACGACAATCATCGCAGGTACCTAGCCCTTCAGTCTCTGGTATTACCTGATTTGAGCCTACAAATGTTCTCGTAATTTTATAAGTCTCTGAACGTGATACGCTCAAGTGCGAATTATCCTCAGTAGTTTTTCAACATTTATCATCAATAAGATGTCTAACATATCCCGGGTCCTTTTTTATGAATTATATTGCTAATTTTAATTTATGCCTTTCATTATTATGCGTGATTGTAGCATTTACTCTATTGTCATAGCTATGTGTGATATATATTACAACATTACTGGGTAACAACTACAGCCTCATCAGAATTTGTATCTGACTAACCAGCATTAAAATTTTCAGTAACCATTTGAAGTGACGACATATTTACGCTAATGTTTCAACTGTTACATGCGTTGAAGTTGGAAATGTTGGCTGTTCATCATTAGACGGTCTCTTCCCGAAATATTTATCACATTCTCAAGGATTTTTATGGTGATAGGCATAAACCAAAAGGAGGGTGAGCCGGACATACGATGAACGAGTCGACGGTCAAATGGAAATCGCGGCATAGGTTAGAAAGAACTGACAATATATATTGTGACAAGCTTAAAAGATTGTGAATTTATTAACGAGTGAAAATTCATTTTGCATCCTTAAATTATGAAACGGTAATTAAATTTAACATTTTTAGAATCTTAAAATTTATTACTTTCTGTTGAAGTGATGTGAGTTTTTTTCATTAATTCAGAAAATTATACACTCGTGTTACTCTAAATAAATATCTCTGCACAACCTAGTTAATCTTATTTATTATCCCTGAATAACTTTAAAACTTATAACTTTTTCGATTGTGTTCAGGGAAATCAGTAGTTTATGTGAGTGGTAGCTTATAATTGCCCCTGTCTCTTATACACATCTAGATGTGNCAAATTTTTTCTTTATGTTAATTTATTTATTTTAAATTTATGTATGTTAAACAAGGGCATAATTTGGCAATAATTAAGTCTAACAACTAGCTTGAGCCACAGGCCGCTTGAGCACTACATTCATGAATCATCGAAATAATTTTCAAACAAATTTGCGATGTGTGAAAGATTCACTATAGGAGAAAAAAGTTGTATTTCACCATTTTTCGGGAAGATCTGAAACCAAGATCAGAAAATGCTGATACTGTTGGTATATGTCTAAAAGTGCCTTTCATTGAGTAACAAGTGGGGGTAAAAAATATAACACGTTATATTCATGACAAAAACACTGGTATAACATGAAAAATTAATGAATAGCCATATCATTGCATGTATGAAGCTGATATTACCTATCATATTTTTTCAATCTGAGCGCAGATGAATTGACTGCAAATTTAAAAGGAAAGAAACTCCACCGTAAGTGTGGTTTCCGGAAATTTATCATTGAAATTTGATGGATTTTATAAGTATTCAGTTATTTATTACAATTTTAATTCCCTTGTCAGGCTTCAGTTTACTTTATGAACGAGAAATTTTCATACATATTTCAGCCACACTGTTCCAGTATATGAATGGAGTGCAAAACTAAATTCAATGTAAGTTATCAATTTCACTTAAAGTCGCTGCATTGCATGAATCAAGTCCATTGGGCCGAAAGTTAAATCAAATAAAGTTTGATCGATCACTCTGGATTAATTGCGCCGCCTGCCTGGACGGGCGTGGCAGGACGCAGTAATTGGTCGGTTGTCTGGCACGGAAATACCTTGGATTTACCTCCGACGCTGCTGTCAACCATTTACTTAAAACCAATTTCTTAGGTTTCGATTACTTCTTTCGTCGGCCGTGGTGTGAATAAATAGCTTCGATTTTTAATTTGGCCGAGATAGATTTTGATTTGACAAATTTATGCTTAGAAAACCTGCAGCGAAAATACGTTCGAAAAGCAAGGAAAACGCGATGACGAATAGAAATACTACATTGAGCAAATAAATTAAAATCGAAGCAGACATAAGAAAAAATCGGATAACACTCGCAAGAGCCTTTATTATGAAAAAATACACTAATTTTTTATCTTCTCAGATCGGTTTTGATTTGACGAATTTGTGAGTGGAAAACCTGCTATGAAAATTTGTTTAAAAATTCGTCACAAAAGTGCTGGA